ATTTTCAAACTCCCCGAGCTCTTTCCAGAGCAGACAAGCCCAGGATGCTCTCCCAGAATCTCATTTGTCACCCAGGACAGCCCGTGACAGATGAAGCTGAGCATCCCCAACGCCGCATTCCAAGGGGGTGATGTCGTATTCCTTTTCCCCTTCTGCATTCATTTTACTGATATWTTTTTTTTTGTTTTTTGTTGATTCCGTGAAGCTGACAGCTGCAGCTTTTCCCTGTGTCGATCACACGGTTAAAGAACAGAGCTCACTCCAGCCCAGCTTGTTTCGCTTTGCCGCTGTTCCTCCGCCAGCCCAACTTTCAGCTGCGGTAACATGATCCCACTTGGCAGCGCCTGAGAGAATCTTTGGCCCATTGGAAAGAGGCTTAATGTAAAGTCTGCTTTCTTTTTTTTTTAATTTTTTCCTTTTTTTTTTTAAATTTTTTTTTTTTTTTGAGAGCTTTTTCGCTGGTTCTGCACCGCTCCGGCGGCAGCCGCGGGGCTGCTCGCAAAAGGCTCCAAATGTGAGCTAAGAAAGGATTTACAGATGAATTCTGTGCGGGGAATGCCTTGAGAGCCTGGAACATCTCCCTCCCAAAAATAAAAAACCCCAAAGGAAGCCATGGAGCCGGCAGAGCTCGGTGCAGGAGGCAGAAAAAGCTCCCGGAGCCCGGAGCAGAGAAGGCACCGCTGGAGGAGCGCGTTGGGGTTTCTGTGTCTGCTCCCCGCGCTGGCTCTGCTGGCGGGGCTGGAACATCCCGCTGGGGAAATTCGGGAAATCCGAGAAATTCGGGTGAGGAGAAGGTATCGGGCTCTGCGGTGCCCGGGAGGGAGCGGGGATTCAATGGGGTTGGAGGGGGGGTGGGGGTGTGTTCTGGTCAGGGGGTGGAATCTGAAGAGATAAATAAATAATTAAATATCTAAATAATTAAATATCTAAATAGATAGATAGGTAGATAGATAGATAGGTAGATAAAGGGCTTTTTGATCTGACTTTTAAGTGGGTTTTAAGTGGATTTTGAGCTGGGTTTTAAGTGGATATGGAGCTGGGTTTTAAGTGGGTTTTGAGCTGGGTTTTGAATGGGTTTTGAGCTGGGCTTTTTAAGTTGGTTTTGAGCTGGGTTTTTAGTCGGTTTTGAATGTGTTTTGATCTGGGTTTTTAAGTTGATTTTGAGCTGGGTTTTTAGTGGAATTTAAGCTGGGTTTTATAAAAGCAGACCCCGCGGTTCTCCCCACCCCAGCCGCTCGGTTTCTCTCCATTTTTATCCCTCACCCTCCTGTTTTTTATCTCCCATCCCGTTTTGTTTTTTAGGAACGCTCCCCAGCCCCGGTGCCGCCGCCTCTCCCGAGCCCTCCGCGGGCGCGGAGCAAACGCTACACGATCACCCCGGGCCGCCTCCGGTGGCACCGCTTCAACCTCACCTACAAGTAAGGCCCTAAAAGCAGGGCTGGGCTTTGGGGTTTTCCTGAGGGATCCCAAAAGTTCGGATCTTTGGCCCGTGGTTATGGCTGGGCTTTGGGGTTTTCCTGCAGGATCCTAAAGGTTTGGATCTTTGGCCCGCGGTTGTGGCTGAGCCGTGAGCCGCGAGCGGCCGGAGCCACTCCGAATTTTATCCACGTGTCCCCTCCCCTCAGGCTGTCCCCCGTGTCCCCTCAGGCTGTCCCCCGTGTCCCCTCAGGCTGTCCCTGTGTCCCCATGTGTCCCCTCAGGCTGTCCCCATGCCCCCTCAGGCTGTACCCGTGTCCCCTCCCCTCAGGCTGTCCCTGTGTCCCCGTGTCCCCTCAGGCTGTCCCCTGTGTCCCCCGTGTCCCCTCAGGCTGTCCCCATGTCCCCTGTGTCCCCCGTGTGTCCCCTCAGGCTGTCCCCATGTCCCCTGTGTCCCCCGTGTGTCCCCTCAGGCTGTCCCCTCCCCTCAGGCTGTCCCCATGGCCCCTGTGTCCCCCATGTCCCCTCAGGGTGTCCCTGTGTTTGCTCAGGCTGTCCCCCGTGTGTCCCCTGTGTCCCCGTGTGTCCCCTCCCCTCAGGCTGTCCCCGTGTCCCCCGTGTCCCCTCAGGCTGTCCCCGTGTCCCCCGTGTCCCCTCAGGGTGTCCCTGTGTTCCCTCAGGCTGTCCCCATGTCCCGTGTCCCCCATGTCCCCTCAGTCTGTCCCCATGTCCCCTCAGTCTGTCCCCATGTCCCCTCAGGCTGTCCCCATGTCCCCCCAGGATCGTGTCCTTCCCCCGGAACCTGCTGAGTGCCCGTGACACTCGCCGGGGCCTGGCGGCCGCGTTCCGCATGTGGAGCGAGGTGTCCCCGTTCAGCTTCAGAGAGGTGCCCCGACACAGCCCCAGCGACCTCCGCATCGGTGAGAGAGCGCGGAGCTCCATGGGATGGGATGGGATCCATGGGATGGGATGGGATCCATGGGATGGGGTGGGATCCATGGGTGGGATGGGATCCATGGGATGGGATGGGATCCATGGGATGGGATGGGATCCATGGGATGGGATGAAATGGGATCCATGGGATGGGATCCATGGGATAGGATGGGATCCATGGGATGGGATGGATGCAGGGGAGTCCTGCTGGGCTGGCTCGGCTTGGCAGAAACTCCTGCCAAGTAATAATTTTAATAAAAAATATGAATTTTATTAACTGGATAAGGTTTGAGGGGTGCCAAGTTAAAATTCAAATAAAATTATTAGTTTTATTAACTGGATAAGATTTAGGGGCTGCTACCCCAACAATTCTGTGTCTAACCCATGGGTTGGGATCCAGGAGAGCCCCACAGGGCTGTGAGGACTCACAGAGATCATTTCCACGTGGTGTTGAATGAACTCAGCTGGAAAACAATTCCCTGCTGGAAAACAAATCCGTTTGTTTTGGGAACAGCTCCAAACTCAGGGTCAGCGCGTGGCCGAGCGCTGCCATTGGCCCTGACAATCTCTGCGTCTCTCCTTTTTACTTTTATTTTTATTTCGTGCATCTAGAAGCTGGAAAACACCCGGGATCCCCTCAGAGAGTTTTTGAGCGCCCTGGGGGTTCTAGGGGAGGATGAAAAACCCCAAAGCTGCTGCTTTTCCTGCAGGGTTTTACTCCATCAACCACACGGACTGCCTGGAGTCACTGAGCCACCACTGCTTCGATGGCACCACAGGCGAGCTGGCCCACGCCTTCTTCCCACCCCACGGGGAAATCCACTTCGATGATCACGAGTATTGGATCCTGGGCAACACCAGGTTCAGCTGGAAAAAAGGTACCACGGGGTGAAAATCTGGGATTTGGATTTTTGGTCTGATGGGGGAAAGGGGGGACAGAATGGGTGGGATTTCCTGGGGGTTTGGAAGGTGGTGTTCCTCTGCCGTGAGCCAGAWCTGTYCTTTCCTCCCCTTTCCTTCCTCYCTTCCTTCCTAAATTCCTTCATTCCTAAATTCCTGCCTTCTTAAATTCCTAAGTTCCTTCATTCCTAAATTCCTTCCTTCCTAAATTCCTTCCTTTTTTCCCAAATTCCTTCCTAAATTCCTTCCTTCCTAAATTCCTTTCTTCCAAAATTCTTTCCCAACTTCCTTCCTTCCTTCCTTGCTTCCTTCCTTCCTTCCTTGCTTCCTTCCTTCCTTCCTTCCATCCTATTCCTTCCCAACTTCCTTCCCAACTTCCTTCCCAACTTCCTTCCCAACTTCCTTCCTTCCCAACTTCCTTCCTTCCCAACTTCCTTCCTTCCCA